ACAAAATTGTATTTTATGTATATATTTTTTTTTATATAGATGAAATCAACTTGCATATCAGAGATAAAATGAAAGATGGATTTTTTGAGTGAAATTGGTTGGTTTCATATTTTTCTTCGCATGTTTCTAATTTACGTCGTCTTGCGAGATTCGGGAATACTCGGGAGATCAAGGCATCGTGAATATCAACACTGATAAGATGGAAAATCATATGAAGATATTGTGTCGGAATGTGTATACAAAATTGTATTTTATGTATATATTTTTTTTATATAGATGAAATCAACTTGCATATCAGAGATAAAATGAAAGATGGATTTTTTGAGTGAAATTGGTTGGTTTCATATTTTTCTTCGCATGTTTCTAATTTACGTCGTCTTGCGAGATTCGGGGATACTCGGGAGATCAAGGCATCGTGAATATCAACACTGATAAGATGGAAAATCATGTTATCGGAATGTATATATAATTGGTGATATCAGAGAAGATGGATTTTTTGAAGGTGATCAATATTTTTCTTCGCATGTTTCTAATTTACGTCGTCTTGCGAGATTCGGGGATACTCGGGAGATCAAGGCATCGTGAATATCAACACTGATAAGATGGAAAATCATATGAAGATATTGTGTCGGAATGTGTATACAAAATTGTATTTTATGTATATATTTTTTTTTATATAGATGAAATCAACTTGCATATCAGAGAAAAATGAAAGATGGATTTTTTGAGTGAAATTGGTTGGTTTCATATTTTCTTACGTCGTCTTGCGAGATTCGGGGATACTCGGGAGATCAAGGCATCGTGAATATCAACACTGATAAGATGGAAAATCATATGAAGATATTGTGTCGGAATGTGTATACAAAATTATATTTTATGTATATATTTTTTTTTATATAGATGAAATCAACTTGCATATCAGAGATAAAATGAAAGATGGATTTTTTGGGTGAAATTGGTTGATTTCATATTTTTCTTCGCATTTTGCGAATGCGTATGCGATTGTACGAAGATGTTTTGGAGAAGACACAGGCTGAGAGATGTCGGCATAAGAAATGAAGAGAAAAAGGAGGTCCCCAGTCTCGATGAATCACTCTCGACTATCGGTCGATCTGAACAAGTTCACCCGTATGCTCGAAACATGTTTATCTTCGATTTCGCGTGTCAACTTCGCGTCATTGTCACAACTTTCTCTATCTCTTCCCTTCGCTTTCTCGCCTCATTATCGATGCATCGATATCGCGGAAGTCGCTACTCCGAGGCGTTAAATCCCTTTTCGTCGATCCTTTTCTGGGGGTCAGGACGAGCTTCTCTCGCGAGAGAAGCAAAGAATAGGAGAACGAAAGGAAACTTATAGCGAGACGAATAGAAAGAGAAATGAAAGAACGAAGAAGGAGAGAGAGCGAGAGAGAGAACCCATTCCTTCGTTAGCCGCGAGGCGGAGGCTGGAATCCAGGCGCTTCTCAGCGGGACGCCGTTTCTTCGAGTCTCGACTCTTTCGAGCAGGAGAGTCTCGTACGTGAAAGACTTCCTTCCTCGCTCTTCACCATCCTCTTCTTCTTCTCTGCCGCCTCGTCCGTTCTCCATTTCGCTTTTAGCCACCCTCTCTCCTGGTCCCAGCACTAGTCTTTTCTTACGAGCTAGAACGAGTGTGCTTCTGCTCGCTCCCGCCATTTCTCTCGCGAGAGCCCGCTATCTCTTCCGAGAACACGAGCGTTGCATCGGTGCACCGTGCGTAGTACACCCACGCGTTGTTACGAGTCGCAATTTGCCTAGACGGTGTTCCCTTTTGAGGATTAAGTGTGTTCTCGATGCTGTCTCTTGTGGTTCCGCGTTCCGAGAGTCCTCCAGAATGTCGTCGAATGTCGCCCCATTCTCTTAGGACATCATTTTACGCAGGGCAATTGACAATTTTAAATCTAATCTTGAAGACTTCGGACATAATGATGAAATAATAAAAAGATAGGGCACCTATACATCTTTACAGCTAGAATATCGTTTTTGACATAAAACAGCTGATGTCCACAAATATATTATGCATTATTACACGCGTTTTTTTTCAGCTGAAAAATCTTGAAATCGTCATAATATCGTACAAATTTACGTAATATTCAGCTGGGGGAAAAATATAGAGGAAATAATTTCTTCTTTATCTTCTGCATTTCATAAATGTTTCTATGAAAAAAAGAAGACACCTCTATGACAATCGTGCTCCCTAATAATTGTTCGCTGTAAATAATTTAATACTTCGAGGAAGGGGAGAAGTATATACACAAGTGCGTAGACGGGAAGTTATTACTCTAAATTACGTCGCGAAAAATGCAACCTTGAAAGACCCGAAGGTTCCGAGCGCGCATTTAAATAATTCCACCTACCTACTTGAATCGTCGGAGACGAAGTTGAAGCGCGCAGATTTGCGAAGGCTCGTTCCTCATTTTCAGCATTGTCACGCGCACGCGTTGCCCCGTCATTTGCCAATTATCGCGAGTGAAAGCACACTCCTCGTGTAACGCGAAGTAATTGCGTTACGCGGACAGACGAGCGCAATCGCGCGCGCTGGACAATCGCGCAAGAGCGGTCGTTACTCAACAGAGAGTAATCTCGTCGTCGTCTTCCTTCTCCTTCTCCGTGTGTACATATATATATATATATATATACACATATATATGTGTGAGCGCGTGTAATCCGCGTGCGGAAAAAATGCGCGGTCCGGTAATAATCGCGGTAATCGCGCCCGGAGAATGCGGCAGAGGCGCGTTTATAAGTACATAACGGTTTGCGCAGGACATCTCGCATGATCGGCCACGAAGGAGAGATACGATCCTCACCCGCGATCGAAAGGCCCAAGTCGAGGAAGTCAAATCCGAGGTCTATTTGGGACGAGAAATTTGCCCTCTAGCTGAAAAGTCGAGCTCGAATGTCATCTTTGTCGATTGAAAGAAAAAGACTCGTTGAAAGATGCGAAATAAAATTTTAATTATTTTTTTAATACGTGAGGCACGTGTACATTGTGTGGGAAAAAGAAAAAGGATTTTTATTTTGCGTACTGCTTGCATTTTTTTATGTGGGACCATTTGATGTAAAAATTCACGTAACTTTATATAGATATATATTCTTTTTAGAAATGCATTGAAATGATTATTCTCCAGATTTTATTCTTGGATACTTTCGTCTTGCAAAAGAATTATACATACAAATTTAATAATAGCACATGTGTTTGAGCAAGAAAACCTGTGGCTAAATCTATCAAAGTAGTACGTTATTTCACGACTGCATTAACCTCAATGATATGATGATGATGATGATGATGATGAAGATAATGATGATGGTGGTGATAATAACGTTGCTAGTCGATGAACCGCAAACAAAACTACGAAATTCGTATAGTTCCAATCGAAAATCGCCGACACCGGCGGCATCGCTTCGTCTCCTCTCTCTTAGGCGATCCTGTATTTGCGTGTACTTGAACGTGCCGCGTCACGGCCGTGCGTATACAATATTTGCCTTTGCACAATATTTGCAGACACTCCAGGGTATATTGCCGCGATTCGTCCGGGTTCCGGTACAGGTGTCGTGCACCTTCTCTCATCGGCGACTTCTTGGAAGTAGCTAGCTAGTATACGTAGCCAAGTATAGTATACGCGAGGTAACTGAATACGTTATACATATATATATATATATATATATACCTATCGAAGGTACGAACGCACATACGAAACGACGATCTCTCGCTCGAAACGGACCGTTAGTCAGCTGACCGCTGGTCCATTCGTTACGTCACGTCTGCGTATTCGATAAAAATGAGCGCTCCGGGCGACCGTAGAAATTCGCGCTGTCAACGTATAGACAAGAGCACGTGGCGCAATCCTCCTGTCACAGATTTTTGACGGGTCTCGTGGATCCGATCAGCTACAAACGAGAGTGCCCTTGATATTACAGTGTTTACTTAGGGGATATATTATTCATGTGCGATCGCTGCCAAACGTTGACTCGAGGTCCGACTTATATTCATCATTAAACGCGCTCGTCTGATCCTCATCTCGCGTCGACGTTGATCGCAGGAAATTCTCGTGTAACAATTGATACTACGCACTTATGTCGAATGACGTGAGTATTTTTGACCGAACGATTCGGTGAAATTTCAACCGAGGATCACCGCAAATGTGAAAGAACCCGTTTCTTTTTCCTGAACTCGATGACGCGTGACTGCATAGATAAGTTTCATAAGCACAGATTTGTCGAGTGTGTCAAAATTTTCCTATTTCTCGAAAAGATTTCAAGGACAGATGATTGAGGCAGATCGTAAACTGGGGCGATTTGAAAGAGCGAGAGAACACGTGGAAGCAAAAGCTTGAAAAGAAAGAATCACATTAAAAAGATATACATTTTGCATACAGAGATTTTTTTCTTAGAATTTTATAAGAGCTTCTCCGATTAATATTTACACCACAATAAAAAATATTAATATCTACCACAATAAGATAATAAAATGTTTGATTAATTTTGCTATGTACATTAATATGGTAAATATTAATCTGAAGATTTTCAGGGTAAATTCTCTCCGTGCATTTTTTTCGTACAGGAAAGAAAATAAAAAATGAACTAAACTATCAAAAGTTTTCTTTCTATAGATACATCAACTTTTACAATTGATGCATAATAAATCAAATAAATAATAAACATTTGAAAGCGAAAGATTGAAACATCTATGTCTAAAAGAATATGATCTAAAAGAAACATTTTACTATTGATGCGATACGCGTCGAATTAACATTAAATAAAAAAAAAACACTTCTTATACCTCCCATCTATCACTTGTATTTTTCATTCGCACTCGAAACATCCTCGAACAAAATTTCGCAAGCTCGATCGATGTTGCCTTGTCGCCGCCTTGATCGCGACGGATCGTAACCGTGTAACGTGAAAGAGCGAGATCGGAATTTTAGGTAGCGACGCGAGTCTTCAGAATGATCGAGCATCCCGATTTACTCTTGTTCCAGCCGTGCAAAGGGGTCGAGTACCGCCGTCGCAGCCCTCGCTGCCGGGTCTGCCGGGCCAGTTCGCCCTGACGAACGGGGAATCGGTCACGTGCACCGGCATAAACGGACACAGTTACCTCTCGTCGTACATAGGCCTGCTGCTGAGGGCGGAGCCGTATCCTACCTCGAGATACGGCCAGTGTATGCAGCCCAACAACATCATGGGCATCGACAACATCTGCGAGCTCGCGGCGCGGCTGCTCTTCTCGGCGGTCGAGTGGGCCCGAAACATCCCGTTCTTCCCGGATCTCCAGGTGACGGACCAAGTGGCCCTGCTCAGGCTAGTCTGGAGCGAGCTGTTCGTCCTGAACGCGAGCCAGTGCTCGATGCCTCTTCACGTGGCGCCGCTTCTCGCGGCGGCGGGACTTCATGCCTCGCCGATGGCGGCGGATCGCGTGGTCGCCTTCATGGATCACATCAGGATCTTTCAGGAACAAGTGGAGAAACTCAAGGCGCTTCACGTCGACTCCGCGGAATATAGCTGTCTCAAGGCCATCGTCCTCTTTACCACCGGTGAGTCTGAAAGTCACACTTATATTGCGATATGTTGAATCGAAGATACATTGGAGAGACATTTTTATTCAATTTGTGCAAAATATATATATAAAATTCAGGTTGATTTCTAAGCCTAGATCTGACAGGTTTATTTAAAACTCGTTAATTAAAAGTCGTACTTTTATTCATTGAAAACTTTCAAGAGAAGTATCGGGACTCCTCCATAACGCGTAAGTGGGTGATGCGAGAAGATTCTAGGTAGCTTAATGGTTAGAGCAGTCGCCCGGCAAGCGGAAGGTTCCAGGTTCGAGTCCCGGTCTAGTCAGAAGGCCCGATTCTTTTTCGCGGATCCCACAAGACTTTTTATCGATAAAAATCTCTCGCGAAATATTATCTACACATCTCGCAACGATTGATCTGTCGTGAAATTCCATCGGAGAATGAAGGGCGCTCGAAGGAAGTCTACACTAGAAAGCCATTCGACTTTGCGTTTTTGCGTTTAGCATCAAGGATATTTTATAACGTATTAATACTTCATTGCTGACACAACTAGGTTGATTGCGATATGTTGAATCAAAGATATATTGGAGAGAAATTTTAATTCAACTTCACATAACTGTGTTATATATACCTATAATTATTTTCATGCAAAATATATATGTATATAAAATTCAGCATAATAATTTCTAAGCGTAGATCTGACAGGTTTATTCAAAAGTCGCGCTTCTATTCATTGAAAACTTTCAAGAGACTTTTTTTATCGATAAAAATCTTTTTCACCAAACATTATCTATTGAAATATTATCTACACATCTCTCGCAACGACTGGATTCGTCGTGAAATTCCATCGGAGAATGAAGGGCGCTCGAAGAAAGCCTATACTAGAAAGCCATTCGACTTTGCGTTTTTGCGTCTAGCACCAAGGGTCTTCTATAACGCATTCCCATACATACACGCGATACTTCGTCGTCTGTATTACCCGCCTATAATCGTCATGACGATGCTATCTCGAAGACGCTCGTTGTCACGTAGCCGCGATCCTTGACGGGCCTAGAAGCCTGACAGCGCATGAGAGGGACAATGCTCTCTCTCTCTCTCTTTCTCCCTCGATCGCGAAGCGTCACAGTTCCTGTACCTATGTACCGGGTGGCAGGAGAGCGCCGGAAGAAGCGCTCTCGGAGCTTAAGTCCGTGTTTCCCTCTTTCTCTATCCGGAGAAGCTAGGCTTGGTCTAATCGACGTGGCGAGATATTATCATCTCCGCGCGACTGTCATCCAACAGCGCGGGATCCTCGTCCAGGACCAGGACGTCGACGAGAGATCCGACGACGGCATGACGACAATTCACTGACGTTAACAATGTGTAGCTCCGCGATCGTCATCGAGCCCACATTGAGACAATGCGTTTCTCTCCACCGTCCGTCTCTCATCTCGTAGCGCGTTCTCGCTCTCCGAAGCCAATCTAGCTGGTCCCTGTATCTATCCCTCTCTCTCTCTCTCTCTCGCCGCATCCGATGACAACCGCATCCTGTCCGAACGAGCGCTCGCGCGAGTTATCTCCCGGCCCATCTGCTCCTTTCTCCAGGAGGAACCACTATTATCGCATGTGTACGTGTACGCACACAGTCGCACAATCGGGGGAGATTTTGGTCGAACGCACGTTCGCACGCACACGAGATTTTAGTTTAGGGGGGTCGACGTGGAGAAGGAGAGAACGTCGTCGGCGGGACCAGGACGATGGTCCATGCTAAAGCATTTCGTAGTAGATACGAGACACACAGGGGGCTATTTATTTCCGTGCTATATGGCCGCGCTTAGCTCGGTTTAGCTTATGCTAATGTCCCATTCTCGAGGAACCGCCGCCTCCCTTTCGCTCTTTTTCTGCTATTCGACTTTTTCTACTATTTTCTGCGCTTGAACGCGATCGCCGGACGGCTGCTTTCTTTTCTTCCTCTTTCAGATCCTTGCTGCATAGGTATCATTCCCCTAGTCTTGTTTCGTTATAAGATGTAACGTTTAACCCTTAAACACGTAACTCAGCTTATGTATGGAATCATTTTCGAGTCTAATTGTATTTCTACGAACGCGCACAATTGTGTATGAATATACAGTTTGCATGTTTTTTTTTAATTAACTTGAAGTCGAGTTGTAGGTATGAGAGAAAAGTGTAATATATAATATACAAAAATGTTAACATGAAATTTTCATTAGATTTTCTCTAATCATTAGTTATTAAATAGGTTATATTAAAATTCTATTAGAAATGAAATAAATATTAATATTATATTAATTTAATCGAAGAGAAATTTAGCTGAGACAGAATCTATTTTTATATAATTATTTATTATCGAATAGAATATTTTTTTTCTCGATATAATTACTCTGAAATCTAATTTAATTAATGGACTCGCGAATGAACAAACGCATATACACACCAAGTTAGGAATAAATATTAGTCAATAAATTACCGGTAACATTCCTGTAATATATCACCACGAAGATAAAAGTGACAAAAGAGATAAGCTTATTACTTATTGTGGGGATCGCTATCGTGAAAGTTAAAAAGTAAGGGCCAGGACACATCATTTCGCTCAATTTAACTTAATGAGAGGTAAAAGCGTGGAAACGGTCCGTAATCCGCGGTCGCGAATGAATTCGTTTGAAATGAAAAGTGGAGTGAATGTTCGCACGTAGAGCCGCGTTATTACGCTAATCGAGGTGTGTCACTATACATAGCGAAACACAGAAGTAGCGAATGCGAAATGCATTATTAATTGCGCCGGGGCCCCGGTTATGCCGCTTTAAGATCTCGCATACGAGATAATGAACGATCGCCGCACGAATTTTTGCTTTGTACGCGTTCCACATAAATACGAGCGTTTGATCATTAACGGTTTGATAATTAACAGTTGACAGTTAACGGGATCGTGAGAAATATTTAGGATGTTGCGCGGCGACAATTATAACCGATTCGAGAACGTAAATCGCGATATCGAAATCATACGTCGGAATATTTTATATTCATTTAGATTGTCAAACTTTCTATTTAATAATTTAAGTGTAAATCGCATATACCAAAAGTTATTTCTTTATTAATATAATCCTATTTATTAATTTATTATTCTCATAGCTCACGATTATTTCTCCTTCTCTTCCTTTCTTTTATAATTATAATTATTAATTATTTTTTTATTTATATATTAAGAAAATAGTATACAAATTAACGTGTCTATTTAACATGATGAAATCAACTTTGATATAAAAATGTCAGTCAAATTTTCTGGATTCAAATGAATCCTCTTCTCCAATTTGTATCTCTGAAACACATTTCTTTGAATATAATATAAATTGAATACATATATTAAATGCGTTGTGGAAAGACGCGATTATGGTACTTACGTATCACTCGTAATCGACGTGAAATTAGCGTGTCCGCCGACGAGCGCGGATAAATTTCTCGCCCGCGAGATCGAGAGGGTGCGGCTTTTTTTCGTACACCCCGTAGTCGTCGGATCACGTGTCTAATTGTTCGGATAAAACGGCGGAACGAGGGCACGATACATAAAGTAACGTTTAGCTCGCTAAGATCGGCCGCCTCTCAGCTTTCTCCGGCGCGGCGTTCCGCATGCACGAGATGTGCATACCCGGTGGTCCGAAACGACCGGGCGCGTTGTATAGGCCGCTTGAATAATCGTCGCCCGGGATCATTACGCCCCGACGTCGATACATCGGGACCGTAATTATACGGGAAAAGGAACGCGCCACGATAGTTTGCTCTTTCTCCCTCTTTCACTCTCGGCTAGATCCTTAATTGCAAGAACAACCGACGCTGCCATTTATCCCGCAATCAGTAACATTTCCCAAGAACCTCGCGATCAATTTCGAAGACGGCGATTCGCGTCGCCGCGTTACGAAATTTTGCTTTTTCGATCTTTAATTATAGAGCAATATGCAATATATATCGAATTGAATAAAAAAAATTAATAAATATTTCTATTAATTTGTCTGGACGGATGAAAAACGCAAGTTTTGAACTCTCGCGAAAGAGACGGGAATCGTTGTCGCGCGGTTTGAGATTAGGGCGGCTCGATTTGTTTCGAAATCCCAAGCTCTCTCTATGTCGGCGGGATAAGATCGGCCGCGTTATCTGGTCGCGAACCACCCCGTAGAGCCGGGCATGTAAATGCGCGGATATATTTATGCGCGAGAGGGTATTACCGGGGCCCCGTGAGTGTGCGCGGTATATATATCTACGTGTATCTTGATGGGAAACACTCCCACGATTATGTGGCATGCAATGCAATTCCCTGCTGCCTTGCCCAACAACCAAGCAGCCATCGCGCGTGTTGCATTTCTGCATGTGCGCGCGCGCGCGAGCACGCGGAGATGCCACTGGTATTTAACGATCTAATTAAGAATGTAAGCTCAACGAGAAGCGCTCCCGACATCTCGGGCCCGCGTATAGATCTCCCGCGGCATCTTCGCGCGACTATCTGCCGACTATCTGCGCGCGACAACATCGCGACAACATATATATATATATATATATATATATATATATATATATACACTATATGTTTAACAATCTCCTTGATTTTAATGAAAGGAAAAAAGTCGGACAGCTGAATGCAGAAATAATATGGACTTGAATATTTATGCACATAAATATTTGCAGTTCTTACTTACAGCTAAAATATATTTTTCAGATTTGTGGAGTTTATAAATTATGCAGTTTTTTATTTTTTTATTTATAGGAAAAATATAAAATTCTTATTTTTTTTTATTAATTATTTTTGTGACAGCTTGATGTATTTTTCTCATTATAATACAATTTTAAAATCACTTCTAAATTTTACTGAACTTACTTATTGCTCGTGATCACAAATGGCGTTAGATATAATATTGCGAAACATTAATATTAGATTATTGCATACATTCTCTAATATCGTATAAATTCTAAATAAGTATATAAAATTGACGTGATCGGAGGGGAATAAGTGATCTGAAGGAGCATTAAGAAATCGAGATGAAGAATGCGAACCGCTGTTAGCCATCGGG